ACAGTGAGGTAGAGTTGGTGGCTGTGCGTTACAGTCGTCGAGACAGGAGTTAGCCGCAAACAGATTTGCCAAGAGGTCGGCTTTATCTTGCGGCTTGTGGGCTAGATTGCCGTCAGAATATCTCAGCGGTGGCAGCGAGGGCTGGCAGAAGTTCGATGCAACGGCTCTGGCCAGACGCCAGTAGCTACGACTACCTGTGGGATGCGTCAAGAGTTCTTGGCCAACTCGTGCGACGCGCTGAACATCCGCTCTGATGTACGCTCTTTTGCAAGACCTGGTGGCATTATTGTAGGCTGTTTTAAGTGAGTTCGTATTGGGATCGTCTGAAGCTAGACCCCTGATCCAAGCGCGGTATGCAGTCTGTTTGTTCTCAACAGCCACAGCACACTCGCGGTTGAACCAGCGGTTGCGCCTCCCTTTACTGACGAGATCCGAATGCGGGATGTAGTATTCCATCCCGATTAAGATCTCATCAGCAACGGCAGTCGCGCTAGCTGTTGGATCCACCTCACTAAAACAGCGCTGCCGCCAGGGAACGGATGCAAAATAGTCCCGCATACCGTCCCAATCTGCCGACGCATAATGCCAAATGCGGCGTTTAGCCACAGTAGGTGGTGGTGGCAGTAACGTTGCCACTTTAGTGGATATCAAGCAGTGATCCGAAGTGCCCAGAGGGGCTTGGACCACCACCCGATATCCAGCCGGGCGAGACGTCAGCAGAAGGTCCAACAAAGAGGGCGCGTCACCAACCCTATCTGGAATCCGGGTGGGCTGATTCACCAGTTGGGTTAAATCGTGTGTGAGAGCGAATGTGTGGGCAGTTCTTCCAGCATGGTCAGTTTTAGAGGAACTTAACCACGACTCGTGGTGAGCATTGAAGTCCCCTAAAGACACCAATTCCGCTGTAGGAAACTGCGCCTGCGCGTCATCTGCCGCCCGAGTAAGGTGGTCCATGAGACGAGTTGTCTCTATGTCGCCGTGGTGGGATCTGTAGAGGCACATGTAGACACGGCAATGACTGCCCAGGTCAACATGTACCCCGCATTCGACATATCGCATATCGACAATACAACTCGCAAGCTTGTTATGTTTACAACTCCATCAACAAAACGTTACGAATTTATCCCATGAAACTATATGACTGTAAGAAGGCGATAAGTGAATGGTTGAAAACCCTTTCTTATGAGGAAGTGGAAAATCTCTTAGAACGCGTACCTTAATTAACAACACTACAAATCATTTAAATACATAACATGCATTCGCGCGCAGGTACGCACACACGCTCACACACACACTCTCTCTCTCTCTATCTCTTCACACACACAAACACACACACACACACACACACACACACACACACACACACACACACACGCGCGCGCACGCACATGCGCGCACTCACACTCACACACATTCTCTCTCTCTCTCACACACACACACACACACATACACCCACACACACACACACACACACACACAAGTTGGATACACATTACATACTGAAAATTTTTTATTTTATTTTTAATTTTTATTAATTTTTTTATTTTTTTATTTTCATTTTTAATTTTTCCATTTTAAATATCATTATATCTTAAAACTAACCCACTGATGTAACTTTGTTGTAAATTCTGTTTTAAGCTTAGTTACAAGGCTTTCCCAACACAAGCATACATTTGCTTAAAGGGAGGACCTGATCTACCATTGTTGAACCAAATTGAGAAATAAATAAATTTTTAATTTTTTTAATTTTAATAATGTATACTTTAAACGTAGGTAAAATAGTATAGTATGGTATTTAGCATTTAGTATATAGTATAGTATAGTAGGTATAGTATATAGAGCTCCACGTGAAAGAGTTCGTCCAGGGAAGTACCGCCACTTTACCTCTTTCTGCGGCCAAGTACTCGGACTAATATGAACATTACTTTCATATAATAATACATTTACTGCATTTCCCTCTGGAAAGGTAAAGGTGCTGGTGAAATTACAGGCACATGGGTATTTTCAACTTTTGTCTCAGGTTGATGGTCGAAATGGCAATGCCCCTAAGATCTTTGCCACCAGTCGCGCAACTCGTTCGTCCAATCACTTGGTATCGTAAAAAAAAAGAAGTAAAATAAAGGTTCAATTTCTACACTACATTTAATCTCTTAAATCTTATTATAAAATTTCAAGTGCTTCAAATGCATTTAAAATAGACTTAAAATTAAATGACTAAAATCCATTAAATCCATGACAGTTACACAAACGTCATACAGCGACGTGATAGACCTAACAAGTTATCGCCATAAAATTAAACTGTAGGCATACTAAATTCACTTTTGTCTTTACAAAATCATATTGTTACTAAAATAACATAAGAGGATATAAGCAAGGTTTTTGCCTATCAATCTAGAATAAGTACTAAAAGCAGGTAACATAAGGAACATTCTCCGTAAATACTCGTACATTCATAGATCGTGATCAATAGAAGCGCAGCGCGCATATAGTGGCAGTATAGCTCCATGTGAAGCGGTTCGTCCCGGCAAGTACTGCCACCTTACCTATTTCTGCCGCCAAGCAGTAATGTCACCATTACTGTGTTACGGCTTTGAAGGGTAAGGGTGCTGTTGAAATTATAGGCACATGGGACTTGTCAACTTATGTCTCAGGGTGACAAACGCAGTGGTAGTGGCCCTCAGATCTTTACAATTTAAAACTATGGTGGCACTGTAACTGTCATGGACAGGCCTGTAGCTTACCATCACGCACACGACTTATTCGTCCCGATGGTATAAAGAAAAAAAAAACACGAATCTTTCTTAGCATCCACTCAAATTGCAACATCTACAAACGGAATTAGATACTCGGGAGTATCTCAACCGGCAGGCATGAAATCAACACAAAAAATACAACTGTATAGGTCAATATGTAAAGAATGGGAATGGGAAGAATATTAAATTGTATACTTTTCGCGTACAAAATAATTTTGTACGCGAAAAGCAGTGCAGGACTGTGAATAATTTATTAAAAAAAACCGACCTCAAAAGTTAACTCCGCTTTCGCTGTGTTCGGTACCATGGTCTCTTCAAGAATACAAAAAACGGATAATATGGAAATCTTCCTCAAACGTGATAATAATGTGAGCCCAAATACAAGGTAGCTGCTAGGGATGCACTATTTTTTGCTTAAAATGGAATTTTTGGATGCCAATGAATTGTATGCACCTGAATCGATCCACAAATCGGATCATACGCTCTTGAATCGACTTTATAAAAATTCCAAAACTAATTTCGATAAAAAGTCATAATTTTGACAGCCTTTTCGACCTCAGTTGTTTATGACTCTCATTAGAGTGACATCAACCAGTGAGAAAAGACGTTTAGATGGCACAAAAGAAGCAACAATCGTAAACTTAAGGCCGGATAGTCATCAGCGAGTAACAGATACAGTAACGAGGTTCCAGCGTGTACGCTTGAATCAATCTTCAATCAGACGGCTCACTGCGAACCGCACGCGTTCCGCTCGCGGCAAACTCGCGAACCACGTACACACTATGATTTTTAGATATACAACGTGCAACGGTTACAGCTCCCGAGTAATACCCGGCTTTATGGTACTTAGATGTTGCCAAACTACTTTTCTTGCAGATCAATATAAAATAAGATTACCGTTACGATTCAGTAAGGGTTCAGAAAGGGGCCCAGTTTTGTTTAAATTACTTAATGTCCGTGAATGTGAATGGACCGAAATGCTTAAAAATCGGACTGAAATGTATACAGACAAAAAATCGCTATCGTATACACTTGAATCGATCTTGATAAAAATTGAATCGTAATGTGCATCCGTAGTAGCTGCTATACACTGTTGAGGAGTTCCTCTCATCTGTCTGCCATTTCAATCATCAGATCACCTCTAGGTCCCATGACATTTTGCTTTCATTGGAAATTATATCTTTGTGCCAAGTTTTATTGAAATCGATTAACGGAAAGCGGGAAACAGTCAATAAGCTGGATTCATTTCCTAATTTGCTACTCTTAAAGGTGGATTAACTTCAAGTTCGTAGGTTTTCGCGATTGTTACACATAGGAAATGAAACTATTTTTCCTGATTTAAATCACGTATATCTGTTTTTTCAAACAAACCTTGTTGTGTATATTTGTTTTTTCAAACGTTTTGTTTGAAAAAACAAATATACGCGATTTAAATAATCCACATTTCCTATGTGGATTAACTTCTTCAAATTTGAATGGGACCACTAATGGGTATGCCCTTTTCAACAAAAATGAAACATCTAAATCAGTTCACAAATGTCGGAGCCATCGCGTAACATACATACAAAGAACATTCAAATTCTCCTCCCTTTTTAAAGTTGGTTAAAAAGAAAAGTAAGATAGACTGCTGTTGCGCCTCCACAGGGAAACTACATTCCGACTAATACATAAGTTAATATTTAACAACAAGAGTCTAGTAAACTACACGTATGAATTACAAAGATATTCTTACATAGCTAGGTAAGTGAACATTTATAATACGCTTACATTAAATTCTATAGCGCCTTACCACGTAATAAGCAATAGAGTTTGTCGATAAGCGACGTTATAAACATAGAAAAATGTACAATAAGCAAAGTGGTGTTTGTCTAAGTACTATAGTACGCCACAGAATTTACAAATGCATTTGATTTCTCTGTCATTTGAGCTTGATATGTTGTAAAAACTCAAATTCTAGCCAAACAATTGCACATTTCTAAGAATTACATAGAAGCTGGACAGTAATAATAATGTAACTTAGTAAGTAAAAAATTAATAACACAATCACATGTCACTGTTATTTACATTACTGTATTAAAACATTGTATATTTAGTAAACTACGCATATTATACAAATTAATGTAGCAAAGCGATTATTAAAAACTTTAAATTGATATCGAAACTTACGTCATAAATTAGCAGATTTCTCGTAACACATAACAACTACGGTGTATTAAAATGTAATAAGAGCAAAAATTCTGTCGATATCAACATCCTAAACTTATCTTTACACTGGAAACTAGACTGCACATGGTTACACCATTTTTCACGAATATAAATGTACTCATTTTCTTTCTTTTTAAATTCTTTCGTTCAAATACCCATCATATTTCTCTTTCAATTACAACCAAACAATTATTAATACTTTTAATAGACTGTGTCCACAGCAGAACAAGAAAAAGACAATAAATAAGATTATGGTATACGACAAATTTACTACACACTAAAACTTGAAAGTTTAAACAACGTGTCTTCAAATTAAGACAATGTCTATTCACTTGTGGGTGACGCTTTGCGAACCCCAGCACGTGGCTTGTGTTTGGCCTCTCCACTTGGGACACTTGTGCAGCTACAGCGGATTTCGGCGAATGCTCTCGAAGTTTTGTTGTCCTGAAGATTTATTAAGTAAGACGATAGTTTAAGAGGTAAATATTTCAACCAATATCGAAATGCTTCTTCATTCGAGCGATTGTAGAGAGTATTTTCTATGCTTGCCATTACGGAAAAACGTCCAATGGAAAAGTTCAATTTTAAGTAAATAATAATAATTTCTATTTTCTTCGGCCAATGTTTTCATATGGCTGTGTTAACAACGAGACGCCGAAGACGAAAGTCCATTTACATCAGTTCGCAGCAGTATGTAGCTAAGCAACAAGTGTCTATGCTGGAGCTACTGGAGGCCAACTGTTAATCCTTTGGGAGAGCCGAATCACTCTTTCCCCGAGAGTAAACGCGATGAGCTCCGCCCTTAGATCCCAGCATGCGGTCGAGCAGGCTGTGCTTGGCCCGACGGCGGAGTATCAGCACTTCACGGCATAAATCGTTGAAAACTTCGCCGACTTGGGCCACTTGTTCAGCTGCAGCTACCTCAGCAAAAGCGCACTCAAAGTCTTTCGCCAAGATCTCTCCTTCCTCTAAGCTGACCTGAAAGGAGACGCAGAATGTGGGCCATAATTATCACGCTCATTAGCGCTTAGTTTATTATTAGATTTCACAGGGGCGGGTAACGTGTAAGCTATTAGATTACGGAATATTAATACTGTTGTATCGATGCGTTCATCGATCGCCGAACGTCAACCGCAATTATGTCCGCCTTGGCAATGAGCTGTGTTTCATATTATGTTGGTCACAGTATATTCGTGTCCACACTTTAGTATATAGTATTTAGTACAACTGATCGTTACCGCGGACGTCATCGCGAATACAGGCTAAACATGTCATTTTAATCAGGCCTTGTACATAATTTGCCTTATGTTTAACTACTATATTGATACCTTTCTCGAAGGCCTCATCGATAAAGGTATGGATATATTCAAATCTGTCGAATTTCCTTGTTAGAAATTTAAGCTTCATAGTTAGGTAATATAAAAAATTGACGATTTGTAGTTTCTATCGTTCGTATTATTACTTTAGTATACCTATGGTTTTTTTATGTGTACATATGACTGGACACGTATCATACCTGCCGCAGATGTACCATGTCAGCCTTGTTCCCCACGAGTGTAAGCGGGATCTCAGGCTGTAGAATTTGCCGGGCGCGTCGCACGAAGTTGAACGACTCCCGGTCCATGATCGAGTACACGAAGCACAGCCCGTCAGCCCATTGGGCCACATCCGAAGTCGGCAAATCATCGAGGTTCTGCAATAATATCAGTATTCATCATATAATAAGTAATATATAATAATCTATTTATAAGCTTAAATAAGTCTGTAACCAGTTAGTAAAGAATACTTTTAAGGCACTACGGCTCGTATTCTAGAACTCTACTCAATGCTCAAGTCAGGATTTGAGTATGGTTTAAAGCATTCGAAATCATACTCAAGTCCCTGCCATTAGGGTCCTATTTCCAGTGCTTGTGTTTCAATTGCAATCCTGACTTGAGCATTGAGTAGAGTACTGGAATACGACCCTTAGATTGCACCGCTTGCAATATGTTTGACAGCACTAGTTCACTTTTCTCTAAACCAACCTTTTATTGACGTTAGAACCGTGCAGTCCGATATTTACTGTAGTTGAAATAAATATTCGGATTATTCAGCCTGTTTTTTGCTATTCAGTATGTATTCATAATGTAAATTTTATAAAGTTCGCGAAAGTACCATTTTTCGCTTCTTTACCTAAAAGATCAAAGGAAATGTAACAAAACTAAAAGATCAAAAAGCTTACGTAAGAAATGAGCACTTCCTACTTATTATGTAGTTTACGCATGTCTACGTAAATACTAAAATCAAACAAGTATTTATTATTTGCTAACCAAAATGAAATTAAACTTTTGAAAGTTAATCAAAGTGAAGTGTTATAAACAATTACTTATTTCTAAGATCTAATTGCATATTGTCATAAATTTAAATTATAAACTTGAAAATTAAAGTACCTTTTTGTTTCATGTTGGTGTATCAGGGTCAAGTCACACTGAAAACGCAGCGGCTGGAGAAGCATTATTCTTCTAAAGAAAAAAGTCCGAATTAATTTGAAGTGGTAGAATGTATAATACGGCACCGCGAGCAGCCGCGAGGCCGACCGAGATTTGTAGCGACTAGTTCAAAGAGGCATGGCACCGTGTTAGTTCCTCCGGCCGCTGCACGCCTCTGCTCATTCAGTGGGACTTGACCTTTGATCAGGTGGAATAGTTTAGCCGAATATCCGGTATTCTGTCAAAGGCCTAATATACTATTCATTGCAACACTAATATTTACACACTACACTACCTTGGGACAGGTATCCAGTATTTCGAAGAGTATCGGTTCTCCATCCAGCAAAACCTCATGGCGATACTTGAAATCTGCAGTCGTTCAAACACAAAGATTAATTAATTGTAAATAATTTTTATTTCAGTACTGAATTATACAATATAACCCTTTAAAAAAATATATACCGTTAAATTATATACCGGGTTATTTATAAAATACAACCTCTCAGGACTGTATTGTTATCATCGTCGTTGTTCCATGACTTTTAATAATTCCTCAGTTTTACTTTCGCACAAAAGCAACAATATTTGAGTAGATCTCTGTAAACTGTGATAACTCTGTCCAAATACCAGTCCTATACAAAACGCATGCAAGAGGTGCCATGGATGGATGGCCCTTACTTCGTCTCTATTTCTGTTTATATACTCGATGTACGTAGGCTAGATTTGATCTATATATCGTAAATAATAATAATATTACTAATACGCGAAATTTACCTTGTTGGTGGTCGTATTCGCCGATATATCTTTTGGTAAGGAACCGCACAGTGAGAGCTGAAAAGAAAGAAGTATGTCGTATGTAATAACGTCGGGTTTATTAGTACTGTATTTAAATCAAATCATTTATTTGCTACAAACATAGTGGTTTAGTTAACAAAGTAATATAGTAAGTAGAAACATGTTTACAAAATAAAACAGCCAAGCCAAAAAATGGTCGTCACATGGTAACATTAAATTATATAATCAGTATTACAGTAATAATTTGTCTATTAGTCATAATAGTCACAGGTACCTACATAAATTAATTTAATTTTATTTTTATAATAGTAATTATTGGAAAAAATCCATAATAGTATAACATAATTTATCTCATAACAATTCGCATTTAATGGGCAAGTCTATAGCGTCATTTGATACTCTATTGTAAATTCTGACACACATGCACAAACAGTTTTGATTATATTTTTCCATCGTAGATAGTTCGAAAAATAGTACTCTGAAAAGATGTCTGTAATTTCGAGGTTATTTTTAAGGGGCTTTTGTAAACATCAACACAGACAACTTTTGCTATAAATAAGAGATTCTCTGAAAGTAAATTAAGCAGAAATTGTACTTGTTTATATACCAATTAGACCCAAATATACTCAACAATGACTCGATTTCAAGCCTATCTTCGCATTAAATCAAATATTGATAAGCCCTTTTTCCGAGCTAGTTAATTTTAATAATTATTTTATCTTTCGAGATTAGATCTCAAATTATTTTTTACGTTTTGAAGCTTGTAATAAAACGCAATATTTATTCGTGTAATTTAGTTCATGTGGAGACAATTTTGAAATAAGAATTACCTCAAATTTCTCCACCCATAAAGTCATCTAGCCCGTAAATTAGTTGGTTGATGAGAACATTCTAGTTATAGATGGCGACTATTGAAGAGCTCTTGGTTTGTACATGGGAAACGAAACAAAAAACTTTTTAGCGCATCTAAATCACGTGTATTTATTTATCAAACGTGTTTTCTTCGCAAAATGTTAGGGGCACTTTGCAGGTACCGTGATCACGATTGACTGAGATGGTGAAGTCATCAACCAGTTATGCCTAATAATAATGCAAATCACTATATTTTATTATTATAGTTACAAAAGACGACCTTGATGGCACAACAATTTGCACTGGCTGAGGAGGTCCCCAGATTCGATTCCTGGTAGGACCAATTTGGGACATGAACTTTTCTAAATTGGTTCTAGTCTCGTTTTCCTGGGAAGCGAGACTCTTGTACTCATATTACTGGGAATTCCCTAGTTTGAGAGCAGGCAGTTGGTGTGGTTGCATGGCATATTATTATTTTGGATATCTATGTTAGGCTCTCGTCTCTCCCAAGGCCTAAAAGCGAGGGGAGAGGCGATTTTGTTGTTGTATTATATTATTGTTATTGAACTATTAGTAGCGGTAGAGCTCCTTTTGAAAGAGTTCGACCAGGGACTACTGCCCAGTGATTTTCGCAATTGTGATTTTTTCGCGGCGTGGTCGAAAGTCATAGTATAAGTTGCCAAAATAGATATGTAAAATTTTTTGTTGTCAAGTATACCTAAATCTTCATCAGGAGCCACTAAAGAAAAATTCCTACGTCGACGTTATAGTATATTTATAATTTTTTTTAGTACTGATTTCTAAGTTTGGTGACGCGTCCACAACCTGTGTCTGAAACTTGTTATCTTTATTGAAGAAAAAAAAACGAACCTTAGTTTGTTACAAATGGTTATAATTATTAATACAAAGATCAAACACTCAGAAGAAAGTCCTTCGATCCGGCCGGATTCGAAGCGACGTCTTCTAGCATACCGTGTCAGACGCTATATCAACTAAGCCACGGAACGAACCAGCGGACTTCACGAATTTTTCTATGTGCTTGTTGTCGTGCCTTTGTATTTGGTTTTTCAACGTCTTTGAGTCGTAGCGCCATCTATGAGAAATCTATGAAAGTTTATTAAATTAAATTTTGATAAGATTGGCATCGCCCCAATCTGAGACCGCCTTAAGTGTCAAATCCAAACGACTACGCATGGAGTCTCGATAAGACTGGATGTCCTGACCCTTGCATTGGTCAAGTACCTACCTACAACTGTGCTGTCGTCAGCATACGCAAAGGTGCCTGGAATTAACATATCATTGATATGCAGCAGAAAGAGAGTTCCAGACAGCACGGAACCCTAAGGAACTCTGGCATCAATCGCTCGATGTTCGGAAGAGTAGCCTTCTAAGACTACTCGAATCAAATGTTGCCTCAAGAAATCCGAGATCCAATTGCAAAGGTCAGTGGGACGCCCATAAAAGGCAAACTTGCTTAAAATACATGCGCGCCAGGTGCTGTCAAAGACTTTAGAATGCTTCGCCTTGCTTTTCTATAGCCTCGCTCCATATGTGACAGGCATACACAAGAATATCCCCAGTAGATCGCCCTCGCCGGAATCCGTTTTGGCAATCACTAAGGAGGTCGTTGTCTTCAAGGCACGACAGGCACGGTTGTTGAGTACAAGTTCCATAGTCTTGCAAAGAACGGAAGTGACTGAGATAGGTCTACAGTTGACATGGTCAGCACTGCTTCCTTTTTCCGGCACAGGTTGAACGTTTGCAAGCTTCCACAACCTAGGAACTACATCAGTTTCTAGTGAGAGGCGATATAATCGTATGAGAACAGGAGACAACTCAGGCGCATAATCACGTAGGACTAATACTGGAATTCCATCTGGCCCATGTCTGGACTCCGCAGGGATCTAAGCAGCATATAGCAGGCAGCTTAGGTTTTGTATTTGGAAGGTCTGCATTCAAGGAGAGATCTGGGAGATTCCGCTGGGAGATCAATGTTGATGTTATCCAGTGATCGCCCGATGTCTGCTCAAGCCTATGTCGTCGTCGTAGCAGCGTGCACGTTGAAGATTGTTTAGTGAGGCATTTACAAAGTTTTAGGATTTAAATAGGACAGCTAATTAGTGAATATATTTGAATTGTTTGAGTAGGGAGTGGTCATGGTCTGTCCTTTTTGATGGGTTTTTGGCAGATTGAAGCCATAGCCTTCTCCGTGGTTTTGTTCTGTTATGATATGAGATATAACAGCTTAGCCTGTAGTAAAGGCTGTCCACAATTGTAAGTGGCTTATCATCAGTAGGGCTCCAGATAGGGATGTTCACCCCTTCAATTGTGAGGAAGAGGGATGTAGCAGGCAGCTTAGGTTTTGTATTTGGAATTATATAAATAATAGAGGGTTTATGTCAAACAGACATCTTAGTAATTCTAGACCAAGATTCCAAATGGAATACATGTTATATTTATGAATAATCGTCGTATATCTTATAAAAGTACCTCTCTTAAGCAATCTGAGTTACGTCATTTACTACTGTAAAGGACGTAACACAGATTGCTTTTTGGCGTATGCGAACTGGTGCCATAGTGCAACTAGCCTGAAGGTAAGTGGTAGGTTCCCTGCGGCATCCAGACGCCAACTCTCTGCAAAGAGTGAGGTAAAAAGATTCGCCTTCTTTTCCGCAGTATGGGCCTGCGAGCCGTCCGGTTTCAGCGGAGATGGTAAAGATGGGTAAAGTTAGTTTCGACCGCTTTAGCTAGGGACCAAAAGGATTTGCTACCTGCCGAATAAGAGGCAAGCTTGGCTTCTATGCAGCGTACACAGTCGAACTTGGCCCTGCGTAACACGTTTAAGCACTTCTTGGCGGCCTTATTAAAAGCAGTCTTCAGATTCCGAGTACTCAGAGCTTTGCGTATTCGAGCGTCTGCCCAAGCTTGGTACGAGCACTGATTTGTGCTTCAGGATGACTACAGTAGCGCTAAACGATGGCCGAGCTTGGAAACCAAACGCAAGACTTTGACTACAGCACCAGCGCAGCTCGACGAGTCTCCTGAAGAAAAGCAAGCCTTCCAGGGATATGAAGCAAAGAAAAGGCGCATTTCTCCCCAATCTGCTAACCTGTATCACCACTCCTGTCTCATACCACAAGGGTTTGGATCGGGCGGGAATTATACGGATACAGTTTACCCAGTGGGGCATTTATCACAGAGTATCGCTCGGGATCAGTTGTTAGCAGAAGGTCCAAGTAATTAGCCGTATGAGACTTAACATCTAAGATCTTGGTCTATATGGCTATTAAATTTTTTTTCTGATTTAATTTGTGTATTTTTTGTCCAATGTACTAACTTTGGAGATGTTCAATTTTGGTGATCAAACAAAATTTCACATCCATATATCTTTAAAACTACTAGACATTTTGAAGGGCCGGTAAGATGTTCTTTTTTGAATTAATTTTTAATATAATACCAACCCATAATATTTACGTAAAACACAAAATTAAAAATTGTCACCAAAATTAGGTAAAAAATCGTACCTGTTGAAAATGTCTGTGCCACGTTAACTATTCTGCCGCCAAACAGCAATGACAGTATTACTGTGTTCCGGTTTTGAAGGGTAAGGGTGCTGGTGAAATTACAGGCACAAGGGATCATCCCGTCACTTGATATTATTAAGAAACAAATAAATAGTAATTAATAGAATTGCCTTACTTTTAAATTTATTACACGCACGCACGCACGCACTCACGCACTCACGCACGCACGCACGCACGCACGCACATACAATGTTTCTTGTTATAATAATAATAATAATGATATATTTCAGACACTTGATCCATAATAGTTAGTAACAAACAATTTCTTAAAAACGAAAATTAATTTTATTTCAAAAGGGCGAGATACAGGCGCATGCAGGCACACACATCTCTCCAGTATGGGACTGTCCCACCTATCCGCAATAATGTTCAGGATCCCATTCGAGCTGGCGCGCAGTCTGCTTAGAACCGAAGCACATCTGTTTCGCATGATAGCTTGAAAACCGTTCGTTCGCGCTTCGGTGAAGATGCCAGAGTCGCTACATTTCTGTAGCGTGGCAACCCTAACAGGATCCTAAAAAAAATTATTGTATACGTAGAGCGTTGTAAGCCCCCTGCGAGAATTTGGCCCATAGGCTACAAGTGTCAAAAGATTGACAA